CAGCCGAACCTCCCTTAGGACTGAAGGTTCTATTATTCAGTGCAGACTCACGGCAAGCAAATTTGAGAGACTGAGCTAGCCGATGGCAGATAGATAGATCAATGAATGATTCTGAGCAACTCAATCCGCCTGCCTGCTTTGCCTGATTTTGGGTAAAAGTTGTTCTTTTTTTTATAAAAAATTCAATGTTTATATAAATATTTATAATATTTACATACAAGCCATGCCCAGCCAGTCAAATGACCACCAAGCCACACCCACAAATTAGGCCATGCCCACAGAACCGGTTAGTGGTCCCTGGGATTTATAATTATGAGTTTGGTGGTCCCTGAGGTTCAAAAGGTTGGCGACCCCTGCACTAGATCATCTTAACATTTAATTTAATGCTTTAACATTATTTTTTAAAAACTTACCTGCACTATTTCAAGCATTTCAGCACGGCTAATGTAACCATTGCCATCAAGATCATACATGCTAAATGCCCATTTCAGCTTCTGTTCAAGTTTTCCTCGAGATGTAACACTTAGCGCAATTATAAATTCCCGGAAGTCTATTGTCCCATCACCATTGGTATCAAAAGTGCGGAACACATGTTCTGCAAATTTTGAGGCATCTCCGTATGGGAAGAAATTCGCATATATCTTTTTGAATTCATCAACAGTCAAATGGCCAGTCGGGCAATCTTTTAGGAAGCCTTTGTACCACTCTTGAAGCTCATGGTCTGTGAATTCAGTGTTCTCTCGGAGGTCCTGGAGCACCTCAGGTCTCAATTTACTGTTCTGTTTCCCCATTTCTGTTCTTGGTTCTTATCTAAGAGCTGAAAACGAGACAAAAAATTAGTTCATTCTTCTCACAGCTGAAACTCAAAATGTAGCTCTATTAAGCATGTACACACAGCAGGAGGGATGAAATAGGTAGGTTCCTTATAATATTCTGCATTTCCAACCCTGATGCTTATTTTAAATAAATTGAACGGATAAATTATTTCCTCAGAAGGAATACTGTACATTTCTTTCCCCATTTTCCTTGAAATGCATTGCTGTACAGAAGGTCATTACAGCATACGAGGGGGGAAAAGAAGGTGATACGGACTACCATGTAAGTACATTCTTGCTTTTTTAGTATACAACTTGTTGTTTGTTTTCATTATTTTGGAAAAGTCGCCTTCCACCAAATAATAGCACCCTTCCACCGCAAAGGGATTCTTGACCTAGTAGGAGTTTTCAGCAATGAAGAGAAGAGGCAATTTTTGCAAATGCCCTGCAGCCTCTTTGGCATTGCCCAATCATTAAGAGAAATCTCCCTTCGGAAAGCAACAATATCAGAAAACCTTCTGCAAACACAAATTGCAAAATCCATTCCCACCTCTTAGTGAAACAACTAGAAAGGCCATTCTGCTGCCTCTCCCTTGCCAAACCCTCTGCACACATTATCCTCATGATTACAACCCTTTTGAACAGTAATTCTTCATTTCTCTTCCTAAATGTAGCCTTTGCCTGTGCCAAAAAAAAAAAAAAAAGTGAAAAAGAGGCTAAGTGGAATTTGTACATGCTTATTTTAATTAATTCTCATATTTCTCTCTACATAATATATTTAGAAAAATTTATTGCAGCTCTGCGGCCAAATATTTTCCTCATTTATCACTGTTTTATATAAGCATAATGTTCTGGAAGCTTTATTTCATTAGAATGTTTTTCTTGGACACAAGGCCTGAGACTGACAATATACTGTGTTCCCCAGCTATTTCCAGGACCAAAATGCATACAGTGGCTATCTTCTTCTCCATTTTATGCAACAAATTCTTCCTTAGTGTTTCAGTTCATTATATTAAAATATTTATCAAATATTTTCCATTGTTCTCTATTCCACTTTAGATAATATATCCACTCTTTTAGCCAAATACTTTAGAAATGCTTAGAAAGTTGTTTCAAGAATTCCAAAACAAGTACCCAAGCTTCAAGAAAAACAGGAAATAAAAGGAAATCTGAAAAAGCCACCAAAAGGCCACCCCTCATTTTTTATTTTATTTATTTTATTTATTTATTTGTCAAGCAAGTATTAGATAACAGGTATAAGTATAAACATGGTTATGAATATATGAAATGGATACGAATAAAAAAGAAACAATAGGACAGGGATGGTAGGCACGTTGGTGTGCTTATGCACCAACTCCCGGTGCTCACTATTTCAAGCAGTTTTTCTTGGAAGATGCATTCATGAACCTAAAAAGCGATTTGAGTAACTAAATATAGGTTTCAAAATATCACAATATTCCCACTATTAGGAAAATATAATAAAACAGCTTGAAGAGTGAGCAGATGAGCCTAGACTGTTAGAACTTATTAAAGATTCCTGCAGTATTTGTGTGCATGCATGTACACACACATACACACACACGCACACACACACACACACATATAGTAATGGAACCTGTCCATCAGAGACATAACTTGTGATAACTGCAAACTGGGTCACCCACGTGACCAATCTGATTATAACTATTTTTGTGAGGCTGTTAAGCAAACCAACAGCTCACCATGGCTCAGTTTGCCAAGATCCAGAAGTAAATGCCAGTTTTTGGCAAAGCTATCGTAAGTCACAGCCACATGAATGTGGGATAGCGCAAACATTTATATACGTGGCCTGGTTGACAAGTGCCCAAAGTCCACTCGTGTGACCATGTGGGGGGGGCACAACTGGAACTTTGAACCCAGATGATAAGTAACTGCAGGGAAGTCCTTCATAACTTCAAGTGCTCCCTAAGCATCTAGTCATAAGTCGAGGACTACCTGTACTTTGGTTTTTGCCATGTGGCAATTCCCCCAAAGTCTGACCAAGCCATCTGCTATAGGTTCTGTTGCTGGAGCAAGATATTCTGACATGATGTGTTTGAGGATGGGAGGAAAATGGGCCAATTGGAAAACAACGGCCTTCCCAGAGTTCCTCTTGCCACATTTCTGAAATAAGGCCAGCAAAGGGACAGTGGCTTTCTTTTGCTGCTGCTGGGGGAGTAAGGAACAAAGAAGGGGAAGGAAGATTCTTCTGAGCTGCTTGCCTCTCTGCCCCATCCTGGCCAAGCACAGGGAAAACGAAAACAACAGGAAAGGTGGAATTTCTGCGCTTGGCCAGCATTGTGGGAGAGAAGCAGGTAGGTAGGAAGAAGAACGAGGCAGTAAGACAAGCAAGGTAAACAGTGGTAAATTCATCAGGATGAAAAGAAGATCAGGCTGTGCAGGGTAACCTTGTGGAAGGTATTTCCTAAAGTCAACATTCCCAATCCTGCAAACATTTTTTTGACTCGCTAGAGAAGTTCTGGTTTGACAGCCAAAGAAGAATAGGCCACTGAAAGTTCATGGCAATTAGGTCTAGGAAAATTCCCCACAGCCAACTTGTCAAGGGACAATTCACAGCAGCCAACTCATCACAGAACAATTTACTACGGGACAAAACTTACATAATATCGAAGAAATGGTGGAATAGAATCATTAAAGAAAGAATAAAAGAAAAGGAGGGACAAAATGAAATGAGAATGACCGAAAGTAAAATAATTTTTTAAAAATTAAATAAAATTGCTGAATTGTCTCACAGCGAGTTGGTCATGGCAAGTTGGCTGCAGATAATTGTGCCATGGCGAGCTGGCCATGGCGAATTGGCAGTGGTAACTTGGCCACAGAAAGTTGGCCATGGCGAGTTGTCCCATTCTGTATAGAGGAAAGGGACAAGTAGAACCCTGCAGGTCCCCAACTTCCTTCAGATCCCTTCTCTGTGTGACACAGTGCCTATTCCTTGTTCTAATGGAAAATATCATTTTCCAGTGGGATCACTTTGATTCAGTTTGGGCATGTGTATATGGAAATGGCCTTGGGAGAGGAGGAAGAGCCCCAGACTAGTCAATGTTCAGCTGAGAGGCAATTAAGTCTGCAGCAGCAGCGTGGGTGAGGCAGTCTCAGAAGGGACCTTCCCTAGTTTCTTGGATTGTAAAGGCAAGGGGGGAAAAGATATACTTTTAGACTTGCAAGATTCTGTTAATGTAACCTCATAACAAACTCAGAGCTAGTACTCTGTGCTTCTTATCTGGACTATCTGACACTGTTGACATCATGTCTCCGTGGCAGATTGGCACCAAGATGGAGGCTCTGTTGTGAGGATGCGTCCACAACAAACAATAAGTAGGTCACGTCAACATCACAGCAAGGTGGCAGATGCCCTCACACAGAAATATTATGCTCATATCAACCCAGATATCCTGTAGCAATAGCGATGGTGACAAAAATCATAGCACTGACATGTGCGTACATGCTATTCCATTCTGGATGTCAACCAAGGGATTACTTACTAATCGACTCCTCTTGCAACAAGTTTGGCAGATGCATAGTATGGGCGTGGAAGCCACAATTATGACACAACTGGATCTTCCCAGTGATTCAGTGATGCAAAGGGAGGGAGAGCCTTTGCAGAAGGATAATCAGCCATGGCATGCCACTGTTCTGGCCCCTGAATCCAGCAATCAGAAGTAGCAAAATTACACCATTCCTTAAATACAAATCGGTCTTCATTTTTCTAAGTCTTGCTGAGAAGATATTAAATTTTGCCAATGTGTGCTATCCAGTCTGACACTGAAATCAGTGGAGAAGCGGCCTTGAGGCGGTGGCGGCGGGGAGTGAGGGGTTGCTAGTCCTTCTACAATGTCAGAGAACCCAGCAACTAGAGGTAGTAGCAACACATTCTATCCTGTTTGTAAGGGTTTGGTTATTTTTCAGTAGCATGCCAAATCTGGTATCCTAGAAAAAGTAAAAGGAGTAAGAGCAGAGGTGGGTATTCAGCAGGTTCTAATCAGTTCTGGAGAACCGGTAGCAGAAGTTTTGAATAGTTTGGAGAACCGGCAAACACCCCCTCTGACTGGAGATTTTGCAGTATCCTTCCCCTGCCACGCCCACCAAGCCACGCCCACAGAACCGGTAGTAAAAAAATTTGAATCCCATCACTGAGTAAGAGCGTACTTCTTCAGCAAGTTTTCATTTATTTTTATTTTTTAAGTTGGAGCAGATACCTGCTGGGTAGGTTTAGCAAATTAAAACATTTTGCTGGGCAGTTTGGTGGTCCCAGGGCTGTCTTTTCTAATCTCTGCTATATCTGGTTTAAAAGAAATAAGATGGAATATTGTGATTGTCGTGAACCCTTGAAAGCATCCAGCTGAAACTTGTCAGAGTTAATGTCCCCTAAAGGTTCAATCCCCCTGCTGTTTTTGTCCACTTATATATGTAGCTGTGTAGCTGTGACCTCTGTTTTTATGCTTTCTCATTACAATTTATCAGTGAACCTTTTTTTTTTCAAATTGACTCTCAAGCTTGTATTAATTCAGATTGACATTTCTGACTCTCAAATCCTTAATTCAAATTGAATTGGAGCGGATTCCATTCAATACTGTTCTAAAAAGTATCTGGAGGGGAAAAAACCCTAAGAGTTTCTGATTCCAAATGCAGAGGACAATCTCAGAACCATCCAATCAAGCAGCAGGCAAGAAAGCAAATGTATGTCTGTTATTTAATTGTGGTAATTTCATTCCTTTCATCCTTATTTTTATCCCTTTCAAGATTCTGAACAAGATTTTGTTTCCTTGTTTGTTTATGATTATAGGTGGATCCAACATGATGATGATGATGTTATCCATTCAATTGTGTCAGACTCTTGGCAACTCTATGGGCCACATCTTCTGATCTTCCATTACTTGAGTTTTCTATGCTCTGGCTGGTGTCAGCTTTGATGGTATCCAGCCACTATGTTCTTTGATGACCTGGTTTCTTTTTACCACTAACTCTTCCAAACATAATCGCTTTCTCCAGTGAATTCCTCCGCATGACATGGCCAAAGAAACTGAGACGCAGTAGACACGCATAAATGAGATATACTGTACAACAGTATACATCAGATAAGGTCAAAAATCAAGGCAAAGTAGTGAACAGAGCACTGCAATGCAAGACCTGCCCTTCTGGATGTGTATACGCAAAGCCAAAGGGGTGGGAATTTGAACTATGATACTCCGTCCATCACTTTCCCCATTTTCACTGCTTCCTACCAACATCACTGGTTGGATCTTGTGCCCCTACTTCTTGGTTCTATCGCCAAACTCAATCCAAAAGATTAAAAGCCACTTGAGATGCTGCACTGTGAATTTCCTTTGGAAAGAAAAACCCAAAGATTGTTTATCCCATCCAATATGATGAAATTCCCCAGTAGTTATAGTTTAATCATATCAGTATCTATAGACTATCCAGTGTAAACTAAGCTTACATAATGATTACCAGCCAATGTAATATGCAGAGAAGCAAAGAGAGATGAAAGAAGCTTATAGCCCTCTAAACTGTAAGAAGGGGGAGAAGCGCTAATACGAGATAATGACATAACTGGAGAGGACTATCAGAAATTGCACCCTCTTTACACAATCTGTTCTCCACTTAAGAATTTTTCTCAGAGACTGAAAGAGAAAAAGCAACCAGCTGCTCATTAATAAAACACATCAGGTTTAAACAGAAACCTGTGTTTATCTCATTAGCTACTCTGTGTTGGAGGGAAGCATAAATACTACAGTCTCCTTGCTTCATTTCTGTTCATTGTTTGCTCCAGTAGAATTTTTCTTCCTTCCCAAAAGGTTGAAATGTTTAAACTGGGCTCCCAGCTGGTAGAGCTGTAAGCCATGTAAAGAGCACCGAGGAGCTTTCCAGCTAATTGAACATATTGACAGCTAGGCAAATACTTGCTCCCTATCTTTATCTTACAGTACTGCACCATGTATGTTGTTTTTGCAGTGGAGCAATGTAGGAAAGAAACCAACCTATTCAATTCTCATAGCTTTGGAAGGGTAGCTAGATGAATGAGAAAAACAATAAGGTAAACGAATGGAAACAGTGCACAAATGGTTTTGAAATAGACCAGTTTTTTAAGAGAGGGAAATGACCGGCATTTACTGTTTCTTGGAGAACTACTTTGGTGAAGTGGGTAAAGTCTAAAGGAGACTCTAATTCTTCGGGCTTAGGCACTAAGCCAGTTGGGGGACTGTGGGCCAGTCACAGTCTCTCAACCCTGGGAAGAAGGCAAAGGCAGAGCACCTCTGGAAAAAAAACCTTTGAACCTTCTATATGTGTCCAGCTGGATACCTCACGATCCCAGCAGATAGGATGCAACTACATTTAGAACTTAGCTTAAAACGAATTGGGGAACAGTGTTATATTTTCATTCATGTTAGTAAAAATCAGCCAGAGGGAAAAATGGGAGGGGAAAAATATTTACATATTTTAGTGAACGACAATAGAAGTCAAGATTGACAGTTACCCTAGGGAAAGAATGTGGTTCTTTCTAATGCAAATGCCCTCTGTTTTGTTCTAATTTTGGTTCACCACGAAAGACACATTGATAGGTTCTCTTTTTTTAAAATGCTGCTCTAAACCCATTGATATACATTAAATCATCAGCCGTGACTTTTATGTCTTATATATTTATTAAACTGCTCTCAGAACTGGGGAGGGGGAAGGAAGAAAATGACATGGGTATAAACAGTTTAAATCCATTCATTCATCCACTGAAGTATGTACCAGGTCTCAGTCATCTGCCATCATGGGCTGGTTTATACTGTCTGGCAGATATACACAAGTACACCAGGAAAAAGCTCTTGATTGGCTGAGAAGCTGTTCTGTACTTCTAATGTAATTTTGGGGTTAATGGGAACTATACTTTTGTGGGAAAGGTACAGAAAAGAAAGTGCTGTCCAGTTGAGAATTATCTTCTATTATTCAAATTTGTTGTGTATGGCGATTTGTTCCTCAAGTTGACTGAAGTTCAGTTAATTCATTTTATTTATCTAGTTATAGGATTTAGGAGCTTCCTCACTCCAGAGGCTCTTGGTAAGATATTCTTATTGCATCTGCAGTTAAATTCCTCCTTGCCAATGCGGGCGCAAAGAAAATTTAACCTTTTCTATTTTTTTTTTCAACATATACTGATTTTTCACATTCCTATGGTAAATACTATCATTCAATTATTGTTCCAGTTTGCTAAAGTAGTTTTAATATGGCTAATACATTGTGTTCCTAGGCAGGTCCAAACCACACCTACATTGTGTGCACTGAGTGTGCAGCTTATTCTTCACTTAGTTATTTGAATCACAGTATTTTAATGGAAGGAAGCACAACTCTTAAGGGGACAGGCCCAGTGTCAGCGTTCCAGCAAACCTCCATTCCAATCAGTAACTCCGAGACAAGCATAATCTCAAAAGTACCTTTATGAGAATAGCACCTGGCACATCTGTGGAATGTCGCAGACTTCCCACAATGTCCCAAACTACAATCCATCCCCTTTTCTCCCATCATCACATCATATGGACCAATCACGATCTGTCCCAGTGTAAGATCCTTTTTTTCTGCTGCGCCACACTTAATAACCTTGAACTAAGAAAAGAATTTTATTTTGTCTACTTAGAACTACTCAATTGAACTTTTTAAGTTCCATTTTCAATTCATCCAGAAGTGGTGCCATTGTATAAATTTTTAAACAACCACCCGATTAATTTTAGTCATTCAAATGTAATAACCAAGAATCCAAAGATCACCAAATAATCCAAATACATGCAAGCTGTTTCTTTTTGCTCTTTTTTTTCACTTTCTCTTCCTGGGGTTACTGTTTAGTTACAAAGTTTCAGTTAAAATGTATCTTTTAGAAGTCTTGTTGAAGTTTTACTGTAGATTCTTTTTAATTCCAGGCAGTCTCCTCCCTCTTCCAGATCCTGCCCTTATTCTTTTTCTCTCCCTTCCTGCTTATGAAAAAAATTTTTAGTGTCCAGAAATCTTTATTATCCCTTTGACATTTTGTTTTATTTTCAGCTTAATTTGCCTGTTGATGTCAAAGCGGATTTTTCTGATTTCTTATTTAAGTCTCTTAGTTGTCAGTATAGGGAAGGAAGAAGAAAAAAACCCCAAACCTTTCCCTTTTCACTTTCCTTCGCTGCTTCCGACTCTTCTTTGGGAGCAATGTTATTTTTTTGTAGGTTTAAATTCCAGGGTACCTTAGTTGTTGCTTTTGCAATTGAACCCGGTCAGCCAAAACTTTCACTTCTTATCTTCCTCCTGCACATTCTTTTCTGGTCGAATTCTTCTTTGTGGTGGCCATTTCTGACCACCGCTGCAACCGCCTTCGGGAAAAAGAGTTTGGCCAGCTGAGGAGAAGAGATGCGGCTCTCCTCAACCCTGCTGGCAGTCTCCCCCCTCTTTACCACCTCTATGGGGTGGCTTAGCCCCGAAACCAGCCGGCTTGGGGAGCTCCAGTGGCGAGCCCAGACCGAAACCGCGCATGGTTGTGAAGTTCTGTCTGTATTATATTGAATGTTATAACTTTAGGGTATATATTGAAGCCTAAATAAGAGTTAAATGGATAAATTTAAAAGATATAAAGGCGTCATACTCCAATCAGTAACTACAGGAGAAATTTTGTTTAATGAGAAAAGATAATAGATAATTAAAACAGGACAGACAAAAAATATAAATATAATGATTTGAACTGAGATAATTAAAATAAAATTGAGAAAATTAAAAGAGGGGAGAAGCTATGCAGAAAATGTAAAACAGTAATAAGATATGGAATAGAACATAAAAATGAGCATGAAGTTGAATTTGTGTCTGTACGAAGAAATGTAACACGGGATTACGCTACTTTCAAAAAATATGTTTTATTTGTATTTTTTTCCTTTGTGAAAACTCAAATAAAATTTACAAAAAAAGAAAAAAAGAACTACTCAATTGAAATCACCCCTCTCCCACTTTCTCAGGCTATGTGGCAGCATGGAATATGGCTTCCAAAGCTGACATCCAGGTTTTTTGCTAACTATGGTGAAAAATGACATCATTTATACTGGGAGATATGTTTGTGAAATATTATTTTAATACAAGCACCAGATTAAATAGAGGCTATAGCTTAAACTACAATTCTGTCAGCTGTGGTCCTGGGCTGGAATCTTTTTTGACTGACCCAAAGTTATTCATTGACTTCCTATGATAAAAGCCAGATTCTCAGAATATTTGGAGTTGTTTTGATACTGTTTTTGTGTTCGGCTTATCATTGTGAGGGGGCCAAGAGACTGTTGTTATTGCTTCCCTTTACATACAGGATCTATCACAGTTTAGCCTTTCTAGAAAGCAGAACTTTCTGATCTGGGAAAAAATGGGGTTGGGTGGGTGGATTGAATTCCCTCATGATTTTTCCCACGGGATTAAAGTGGAAACAGAAGCGTGGGAAGGCAGCATGTTTGCAAACTACAAAAGTGACACATGTAGAATTGAAGATAGGATGCTCATACATATCTTTCAGCCACCTTGATACCTTCTTTGATACTCATAAGAATTTTGTAAATATTATTTTCATTTAAAATGAATTTCAAAACCAAATTATTTCATATAACTTGAAGAATGATTACAAACCTGAAAAGACAGTCTGGGCGTTAATTATAAATTAATTTCTGTAATGAGAGCATTTTTTTTTTTTTACAAAAACTATAAAATTATGTTTTGCATTTTTAGGCAAAGTCTAAGCAATCTAAGGCCCTTTTTAGATAGTAATTTTAAACTCTTTAAATATTGGTGGTAAATATTTCATTTCTCTCTTTCAAGGAAGTGGATTTCTTTCTGCATTAAGACAGCATAAATCTTCTGTTGTGTAATTAGTGTATTAGGCAAAATTAAAGAAAGTGACATCCATTAATTTATTAAGGCACATTTAATGTGATAGCCCATAGACATGGCTTCAGACAGTTTCTACAAAATTAAATGGCCAAATGTCTCATTAATCATGAGAAAGAGAAAACCTGGCTGCTGGCATCTAAGGAACATTTCGGTCAATGGCATTCATCAAATCAATTCCCCCAGGCTCATACTCTGATTTTGCCATGGCAACTCCTGGAAGCACTTGCTCACCTATCTGTGGCCCAAAGCATGATTTGCACAGAATATGTGCAGGCCAATATTGGCATACTGCATTTACTTAACAAAAATTATTTTCTGCCTTTCAAAAATTACAGAATGTCAAACTATTTTATTACAATCATAGATCAAAAAAATAGAATTTGAAATATAAATTATGGAACAAAATTTA